TGATTTTCTTGATTATAATAGACATTAACCCCATTGTCGCCTTTTCAGTCTCTGCATTGTGATGTTGAAATATTCTCCTTGTTGTGCAGCTGCGATTCTGTTTTTAGCACTCCTCCCACGCAGCTTTAATCAGGGCCTTTTCTGCACTGCCTTTTGCTCCCAGGTAGAGTTTGGGATTGTCTACAGCTGCATAGAGGACAAAATGTACACTGCACGGAGGGGGAAAGGAGCTTTTTGTAACGGATCCCCTATCAAAGTTTCTGGACAGGAAGGTGAATATGTATGGTGTAGTTACAAATTAACCCACTAGATGGAGCTATTCATCTATTAAAGATTTTTGACTGAAAGATTTCTTTTGTTTCCCTTCAAGATATAAACAGGTCTTTGGTGCTGACTGAAATGGGTTTCAAGAAGGAACCTGAAAGCTTCAAAACGATGCTGGCCAACATAAAGACAATCCTCACCATACCGGTTCATGGGTAAATATTAGTCTGAGAAGGTTGTGACCTGATAACAAAAAATAAACAAAATAAAAAAACGACTGAACTATAGGAATCACTATATTAGAGGTGATCTTATATACACTATATTGCCAAAAGTATTTGCTCACCCATCCAAATTATTGGAATCAGGTGTTCCAATCACTTCCATGGCCACAGGTGTATAAATTCAAGCACCTAGGCATGCAGACTGTTTTTACAAACATTTGTGAAAGAATGGGTCGCTCTCAGGAGCTCAGTGAATTCCAGCGTGGAACTGTGATAGGATGCCACCTGTGCAACAAATCCAGTCGTGAAATTTCCTCGCTCCTAAATATTCCACAGTCAACTGTCAGCTGTATTATAAGAAAATGGAAGTGTTTGGGAACGACAGCAACTCAGCCACGAAGTGGTAGGCCACGTAAACTGACGGAGCGGGGTCAGCGGATGCTGACGCGCATAGTGCGAAGAGGTCGCCAACTTTCTGCAGAGTCAATCACTACAGACCTCCAAACTTCATGTGGCCTTCAGATTAGCTCAAGAACAGTGCGCAGAGAGCTTCATGGAATGGGTTTCCATGGTCGAGCAGCTGCATCCAAGCCATACATCACCAAGTGCAATGCAAAGCGTCGGATGCGGTGGTGTAAAGCACGCCGCCACTGGACTCTAGAGCAGTGGAGACGCGTTCTCTGGAGTGACGAATCGCGCTTCTCCATCTGGCAATCTGATGGACGGGTCTGGGTTTTGGCGGTTGCCAGGAGAACGGTACTTGTCTGACTGCATTGTGCCAAGTGTAAAGTTTGGTGGAGGGGGGATTATGGTGTGGGGTTGTTTTTCAGGAGCTGGGCTTGGCCCCTTAGTTCCAGTGAAAGGAACTCTGAATGCTTCAGCATACCAAGACATTTTGGACAATTCCATGCTCCCAACTTTGTGGGAACAGTTTGGAGCTGGCCCCTTCCTCTTCCAACATGACTGTGCACCAGTGCACAAAGCAAGGTCCATAAAGACATGGATGACAGAGTCTGGTGTGGATGAACTTGACTGGCCTGCACAGAGTCCTGACCTCAACCCGATAGAACACCTTTGGGATGAATTAGAGCGGAGACTGAGAGCCAGGCCTTCTCGTCCAACATCAGTGTGCGACCTCACAAATGCGCTTCTGGAAGAATGGTCAAAAATTCCCATAAACACACTCCTAAACCTTGTGGACAGCCTTCCCAGAAGAGTTGAAGCTGTTCTAGCTGCAAAGGGTGGAACGACGTCATATTGAACCCTATGGATTAGGAACGGGATGTCACTTAAGCTCATATGTGAGTCAAGGCAGGTGAGCAAATACTTTTGGCAATATAGTGTATAAGGACTTCAGGAACTGTTTTTGTGACTAAAGCACCTTTTATTGGTTATCTAAAAAGATTTTTTATGCTCCAAAAAGTTTCAGATAAGTCCTTCTGAAGTTTTTGGATTTGAGCACACATTCTTTTTTTAAGGCAGAATGTTCAGATGTATGACCCCAGTTTTTAGATCAGGTCAACCATGTATGCTACCTGACTTAGATATGGATTTAAACCTGTTGTAAGTGGGAGTTTTTTGTCTGAGGACAAGATGTGAAAAGTCTAACCTGGAGAATAGAACCCTTATTCATAACATATATAAACAGTGTTGTTTTCGTCAACGATGAGGATGTCGAAATCATTCCGTTGATGCTTCTTTTTTTCATGGTGATAATGAGAACTGATGAGCTAAACATGGATCTTTGTTGATGAAAACGTGAGAGTTTGTTGATGAAAACGTGGGCATGAGTTTTAGTCAACGAGATGAGACGAGACTAAATATAAATTAGCGGCTAGTCGTTCAGACATTTAAACCGCATCATTGTGCTGTGGGGGGGAAATAATTCAGAATGGTCTAGGTGTCTGACAAAACACCGGTACAGCACGCTGAACTCTGACAATCTGTTCTTCCATCCGAGCTTGTGCAGAAATGCGTCTTTGTGCGCGCGTAGCTCTGAGTCTGCGCTTTATGCTCCACACTGATGGTTCGCTCTCAACATGTATGGCTCCTCCTGCTCTCGCTACTTAAAGGAGAATTCCGGTTTTTAACACTTTAGCCCATTTTCTGTAGTGTCCAGGATGAAATCGAATGATCGACACCAAAATTTTGACAATTGGTCCTGTCTCTGCTATTTGGCTCATTTAGAATCCACCCCTGGCTGCTTCAGAATGGCTTCCATAGTGCATGTCCGATAATGTCCTTAAAACAACCTTAAACGTTCTTTTTTTAAAATATGCTACTCACCGGGTTGTCAGCGCTGTTCAATGACGTTCCAAAAAAAGTTTCGTAAAGAAAAAACGTTCCTGTAGTGTTTTATTTAGCATTTTGTAAATCCCATTGAGTTCTGTAGGAATAGTCAATATTCCGCTGCCACCGGAAACGGAAATGGGGCCTGTTTACACAGTTGTAGTCTTTTCGCTTCACTCTGTGTACTCCGACGTCGAGAATCAAGAATCCACCTTTCGTATTCCATTTTCAGAGTTTTTTAAAGTGTTTAACAGAGACGTTAGCACCTCGACGTCGGAGTACACAGAGTGAAGCGAAAAGTCCTCAAACATTCCCCACAATGCCTAACTTTTGACGGAGACATTTCTCACATATCCAGAATCTGAATAGATTTTTGACAAAAGATAAGAAACTTGGAGGTAAATCTCAAATTTAACAAAAATATGTTTACTCTTGTTGCTTACCGTGTTTTCCGGACTATAGAGCACACCACAAAATAAGCTGCGCACACTTAATTTGGAAACATGTAAGCTTCACTGGCTATAAGCCACTGATATCTACTGAACTGTCTCCAACCAAACCTCTAGCGTAGGTACAAAGAATAATGCTAGCTCCTCTTAGCTTGTTGGCTCACGGCAGAAAGAGCTTCTACTGAAAGATGGGCTTTCTCAGCTCTTTATTTCAGCACAGCAGTCGAGCCCACTCTCTTCATTGGTTCAACAGCTTTAATGCGTCAAATATATTTCAAAATGTGCGAATTTGGGACATTTTTTCTCTGGCGTGCCTGCTGGTAGCATATTCTTGTGCTAAATGAAAATTAGCCTCTTATTCTTTCATTTCCATTTCCAATCTTTTATTATAAACCAAATGGGTCAAAGAGTGGGAAAATAGTAGCAGCTTATAGTCCAGAAAATATCGGTATCTTTGGAAGTGAGTTTCATACATCAGATAAATCAAATACACATTAAATTTAAATGGAACACTTTTATTTCTTGGAATTCTGGGATATTTCATAACTGCATATAATGATAAAAATACAATCATTGTCTCAGAATATTGGGATTGTGTTAAAGTTTCACTCCCTGAGGTGAGTGAGAGAAAATATTGAACGCTTACTAGCTTACCCATTCCCACCATCCATCTCCGTCTGTGTTGGTTAGATAAACTTTGGTCATTGTTCCCATTTCTATGGATGTAGGTCACTTGCCTTTTTCATTGTTGTCATTCCCCGAATCATTACAAGATCAACACATCTTTAACTTGAATTGAATGTTTGATTTTTCTCTATTTTTAAGAGTAGCTAAAAGGAACAAGATAGGAAGTCATAGGGTACTAATTAAAAGTTCTTAAATGCTTTGACGAACTTCAAAGATTTGAAGTGTAAATTCTGAAAATGCTCAGTTCCTTTTTTCTTTTACTGGAATCATTAGTGGTGCCAGTAGTTGCTTTAACAATGATTTTCATAAGAAGAAGAAAAAAAATCAGTGTGAGATTATGATACAGCAATACATTCTGGATTTATTTTGAGTCTGTTTACATCTTTGCCAGTGGTGTTAAATGAATGTAGAGGACGCTTTGTGGCTCCTCTTCTTTCTGCCCCTGGATCATTGGGATGTTGGGTTTGAATGCAGCTCATCAGCTCTAATAAGCAGGGAACTTATTATACTCCGAGCTTTGATCCATCTCTCCAAAAAGGACTTTAATGAACAACCTAAAGTCGTGCACAAAAGACCCCAAAAATTACAGCAAATGTTGAAAAGGGGAAACTTTTTCACCTTTGCCCTGCATACCCTTACCGCTTACGGTCTCAATCAGTAGTGTAGCAGCGCTCATTTCTTGTTAGAGTAACGCTAAAGGAAATTTTAAAGGAGCTCTAATATGGTAACATTAAAGCTTTTATTGCATAGGAGGACTCATAAAATGGATTCATCAAACATATTTTTGTATACCAATCTCTGTATTTCTCCAAAGGTTGAATAAATGTTAGAGACAAAGGAAAAACAGTTTCTAATGTTTGTGTCATATCCTTTAAATAGCCTGAGAACGCCGGAAACATGTGATCCCAATGAGACGTGTGTAAAAATGATTTAGTTATCCAACTTTTTAAGCTTTCAAACTAATATGAAACAAAGCACTGCATATGAATAAATCATTTAAAAGCCTCTGCTGTCCTCCAGCTTCTTCTGCCTTATTGTTGTGCACAGCCCGTCTTTTTCCTTTGGCTTTCTGACAATAAAAGCCACCTGCTTCTTATTGTTCCCTCAGAATGAAAGTGAGTAGTGCAGACTCATGTCATAGCAATGAAAAATAGAAAGAACAACAGTATGTAATACCAAAGAGCTGTTCTGCATGAGAAATCATAAGGATGATTGTTCCTCATTCATAATTCAAACTAAAAGCTCAAACTAAATGTCCCTGTTTCCTTCCCCAGAATACGCTCTCCAGGCAGTGCGGCCATCAACATGTGCCTGGTGGCGTGCGGCTCGGCGGATGCTTACTACCACATGGGCATCCACTGCTGGGACATGGCTGGAGGGGCAGCCATAGTTACTGAAGCGGGGGGAGTTATCATGGATATTTCCGGTAAAATCACTGATTTAATACCTGCTGACATAGAATTATCGGAAAATTACATTGCATTTGACAGTGACCTGTCTCTTAGAGGTTCACAGGGTTTACAGAACTGCCTAGACATTTCATTTCAGTGACTCCTCCCTGAAAACTTGCCCATCTTTCTCATTCCTGAAACTCTATTAAATCATTAACTAATTTGTCTGTAAGATATCCAAATCTTCTCTGGAGAAATACATTTTTGCAATCTCCCCAATAGGCTACAGTTTGCTCTTCTGGAAAATCTCCAAAGGGATATTATCAGAGGCTGACATTATCATAGCCACCAGATCTCCTTAGGCTTTTCCTAGACACCCTTAACCCCCATCCCGACACTCCACCCCACTCTAGGAACTGTCTTTCCAAACTGGTCATACCAGAGGAGCTGATCCTAAAAGCAGTTGACAAATCCCAACCCAGGAACTGAAACCTGTTTGTCAAAGTAGTTCAAGGAGCAGTTTGGTTTGAATCTGAGTTGCTGCTTTATGCACATTTCAGACAGAATGGTGTGGAGCCGATGCCTGTTTAGCCCATCACCTACAAAGGAAGCTTTCGCAGGCAATTTTCTTTGAGGGGCTAAAAGAGGTCAAGGCACCACTTCACTTGGAATAACTTTCTATTTATTCTGCATGTGCTGTGCATCAAGAGGTTTGCTCTTTGGAAAGTGAAAGCCACCTTTGTGCTGTGCTGAACATGCTGCGATGGACAGGGAACACGCAGACGCAGGAGACCTCTGGCTGCTGTCCACTAAGCCGAATGTAGCCGTCACTGTGGAAACGGAGCTGTCAGGAGCCCCAAACAGCTTCTTAAATCTTAGCATCACTGCTTTCTCACCTCTGTTTTTTTTTTTTTTTTGCCTTTTTTTGTCTTGTAGCTGAAAAAGTTTTAAGTTATTAAAGAAAAAAATGCACTGTAGTCCTCTGAGATGTGATTACATTCTGAAAAGACTTCCAAGTACCTGGTTAAAAGCCCGCGGTCTGCAAATCAGGGCCCCTGAGTCCTGAACTTAAGCCTGATAAATGTTTGACACCTCCAAGATGCCAAATTACGTCTCTTTGGCTTCTATACCTCTCATCGCAGCATGGACAGAATATCAGCACTATGGTCTAAGCAGACAGCACGGAAAAACATGGTGGCCTAGCGACACCTCAGCCAACATATGAAAGATCTGTGGACAGGAATCACTGTCACTCTTGGATGACATAAAGAGGCTTAGGATAAAGCAGAAAACTAAGGTGTTTTAGCGTTATGTTGCCAATAATGTTTTTCTGCTGTACACAAATATATAAGGTAGGAGTGGAAAAGCCACATGGCGTATAAAAGCTGTAGACTTTTTGTCCGTGCGTCTCTAGCAGAGCATTCATGCAACAACCTTTACCCCCAAATTGCTCCACTGAGGCCTCAAGCTGCCCCCTAGAGGATGGGTTAAATGCAGAGGTTACATTTCTGATGATCTATATGAATAAAATTGATTATAGATAATCTGAAATTCACAATGAAGTACAGGAATCACTATGCTTATTTACATGAACTAAGTATTAATCATGAACAGGCAGTTGGGATAAGAATGTGTTATTTAAACGATCCAAAGGTAATGTGGGGTTCATCTCAACAGGAATGAAGATGTCTGCTGAACTGCAGTACTTTAAGAAAGATACTTAATCTAAATAGCATCCATCATACCTGACTGACCTGTCTGACTCTGTGTGGACCGAACTTTAAGGGACCTTAGATTCCTGCCCCTCTCTCTTTCTGTAACCTTTTAGTTGCGAAGATTGGTGATGGAACTCAAGAATGCCTAAAATGCTCTCAGAAGTAGGACTGCAACTAACAAATATTTAGCAAATCGATTAATCAGTCGATTTGTCTTTTTGATTAATCGATTAATAATCGGATGCAAAATGTTCCTCAAAAGAATATTTTTTACAGAATTAAACCAGGTTAAACTAAAACTACTGGATAGAGCTTATTGACAGATAAAAAAGGTTGTTTCTTTTTATCTAAAATGAAGAATATATATAAATTTGTTAAATATTGGTATAATTACTGCTCTAATTTGGTTGCTCTACCAGCTAAAGGCATGTTTTAGAGTCTCTATACTCCAGTTAACCGATTACTAAATTAGTTGACGATTATTTCAATAATCAATTGCTTCAGCTCTTTTCAGAGGCTAGCTCGGGTCTGTTCTGGACACTTGGATGACACACAAAATACTTTAATCCCCTCTATTTGTACAGCACAGACCAAATACTAGTTTTTCTCCTGTGTTTGGTTTAGATAAATTACACATTTCACCACATATCAGAGTGCTTTATTCTTACTAAAGGTGCCGGTAAAACCACATCAAGATGCCCTATATAAGAGTCATGTACTGATTGATTATGCTTTTCAATCTGTGAACTTATTCATTGCCTAACCAACCTCAAAATAATAATAAAAAAGTTTTTAACTTTTTTTTACTAGTTGAAAGACTATTTGTAATCATTTTATTGAACAACATCCAAGTGTGTTTTCCTTATATAAACAGCAACTTGCACCTCCAGTGTCTTTCCATGTGAATAGAAATGTTAGAAATGTCAAGATGTGAGGTAGCAGCAGGTGTCGGGATATTCACAAGCCCCCGGCTGAGCACAGCTGTGTTTGAGGTCTCAGCAGAATGGAAAATGCCACCGTAGAGTACTTGATCTTCTTTTGCCGTCTTCTCCTACTCTTTTCTCTCGCTTTGTCCAGATTTTCTACAACCTGCACAATTCAGTCAAGATGTTAAGAAGGTACACTTTGTTTCAGGGCAAACATCCGGACGGCAGAAAAATCCTAATTTCCTGTGTCATTTTCTTAAAGCAGATGCAGATGGGAGTGGGAATTGGATTTATTGAAATGTTAACATTTCTAAGCCTTTTTCCTCATCAGGTTTCCAAAGGTCACAAATCTAACACTGCTTAATCTTAATCTGCTTAATGCTTTGATCTTTTACAGACAGTATGGACCCATCATTCATTGTTTTCCAAACAACTTAATATGTTACAGATTTCAATTATTTTATATCTTCCACATACAGTAATTTCCTGATTATTTAACTGCTTGCATCATAATGGAAAATGTGCTTATTTTTATTCCTGTCTCCCTTCACCAGGTGGGTCGTTTGATCTGATGTCTCGCAGACTGATTGTTGCCAGCAGCAGGGCTATAGCCGAACGAATTGCCAAGGAGATAACAGAGTTTCCCGTTGGCAGAGACGACACAGAAAGCCAGTAAACATCACCTCTCTCCTCTGCAGCCACGTAAAAACACACACAGCTGCTTTCAGCATAGCAGGTGTTGCGTCCGTTTTTGCCTTAAGAACTAAAATGATGCAGTTACCTCTGAAAAACAGCAGGCGGGTTTAAAGCCATTTTTTCCTTCTGCATACCAGTACTTAACCATCCACAGCTTCACCTATGTTGTTGTATGTATTGTATTTTATCTAATCACTCCGCCATGTTATTTATTTTGCAACTAGAAACAAAAGTGAGGATTCTTTGTAAAAACAGAATAAGAAAAATACCTCAAATCATTTCATCTCTTAGATTTAGATAGTGACTTTAACACTTACTGACCCCCTTAAAAAATGTGTTAAAAAAGAAGAATAAAGCAATTTATTCAGCCATTATAGTATGTGACTTCTTGTTTTAAACATACACTAAAGTTTAAGTTGATTATAGTGTTGAAGGACCTTTGAATAGCAGTCAAACTGTATTAATAGTGTACAAATCTGCCACGAGTTAGGCTGTCGTCACTCTTTTAATAGGAAAGATCTGCTGATCACCATAAGAAATGGCTTCAAGAATAGAATCACTAAACCTAACCCTGCTAATATCTACAGTCACAGCAATAAAAAAAAAATGCGTATATGACTGGAGCTGTAACAAATGAGACAGGAAGAAATCCCAAATTTACACTGTGAGATCTTGGGCTCAGTATTGTACGAGCTACTGGGCGCTATCAAGCTATCCATCATTTCTGCAGGTTCCTAGAAAAAAAGAAATATCTTAAATATATTAACCTTCATTGTTTTTCCAATGAAAAGTCCAGATTGTGTCCAGATTTGCCATACTATGTCTGGAATAACAAATAATAATATATTAGATTTGCACATTTGTTCATTTACCGCTTCATCAACCATCAGAACGTTTACTTTGACCATAAGCTAGTTTCTGCCTTAATTGGATTTTTGTCTGTTTAGACAATTATAACTAAAACGCTCATGTTCAGTCATCCAGGGCTAGCTTAGAAAAAGAAAAATATAATTTACTTTTTGGCTTGTTATTAAGTTTACAGTAAGGAAGGAGTCGAAGTTGGGTAACAAAGGTATAAAAGCAATGGATGCCAGAGTCAAAAAATCTTATTTTAGATTACTATGTTAAATAGGTGAAGGTATAATGCAAAGGAGGTAGATTCTTTTTTTTTTTTTATTGTTGTTGCTGCTCCTTAAAGGGATATTGTGCAAGAACTTATCTTTTTTTCCCGTCTGAAATCTATTTCTGCGTTTACATATGTGTTATTTATGTAAAGAGATTAGTTTTTAGATAAGTTTGTACAAAAGGCTGGTGGCCATTAGTGAAGCGCCATGAATGTCAGTCACCTTGAAAATTAAGACATTCGGCAAGGGATGAAATAGTACTAATGCACTGAATAACAAGGCATTTCCCTTTGCTAGCAGTTAAGAGTGATTGAGAGGTGAAGCAGAAGATGATTTGGTGAAGCTAACCCAACAGCTGAGGGCTGCGCTACTGCAGCACCATACCGCACCATGCATATGCATCAGCTCAACAAACTGTTTCGCCATCCGAAAGAAAGTGGAAAAAAAAACTTTAAGAGACATTTCGTAAGCTTTTACTGAAAAATGGCTTTAAAATAGTCCTTTTATTTGACTATTTATGACTAAAACATTGTTTATTGAGCAGACTTACACCTCTGTAGTTCATCATCGATGCATCTATAAGCCTGCAGTCTATTTTCCTGAATTTGCAGGTCAGAAGTTACAGTTTCTGCGCTTTTCGGAGAGGTGACGTCAAGCACTTTCATTTTGAATGGGTCAAACCTTGCAAACAATCTAAGCGTTATATTCAAGTTGGATTTTGGGGCATCCGGTTCAACACAGACACTGATGGCAACTCCACATAAGGCGAAAGGTGTTTGTTTAGTTTGAGTGCGAGCTATGAGAACGAATAAAAGAGTGCCGCAGTTCCGGTTTTTGGCCACAGGTGGCTGTATCATTAGAAAAGTCTGTAATGCCTCTTTAAAGGACAACAAAATTGGAGACATTAAAGAAAAAAAAACATTAGGCAAGCCTTCTCTTATTGGAACAAGCTAATAAAGAAAAAGATTTCAAAAGACGCTGAAGTTACCATGTTCCTCCTTGACGCGTAAGTGAACTGTACTGCCTTAATTAATGACTCTTTCCATTCGGTTTAATCATACAGTTTTTCTCGTTTCCACAGAAAGCATAGCAGTCTAACCTGCAAACACATACCAATCATGTTGGTACATAAGTTTAGGTTTCGTAGCTTTAAAAGTCGTGGTGAATGCTGGCTTTTTGTTTTTGTTATGCCAGCTTGTAGAGACTTACATCCACGTTGTCGAGGCTTTTTGACACAATGCGGCGACTGCTGCTACAATATGTGTTTGAGGCAGTGACGGGGTTTAGAGTTTTGAGTCCAATACCCCCATTTCAATGCTAGATGACAGTAATTCTTACCCAGTGTCCCTTTAATGTAACCAATCTGATCTTAAAAATTCCTTCATTTATCTTACTAGATCTAGTAAAAACCCTGATTTAGACTGATGCCATAAAAAGTATTTTTAAATGACAATAATTTTAGTTTTTCAAATACTTCTGGGTCGTTAATTGGAACATGTGCTTTTGTTAAATGAAGCTTAGATTTAGCGTTTCATTAACGAACATTTAAAGTGGGTTTGGTGTGAAACATCTGTAAAGATGTGTTAATAGCCCAATGTCAGATGGTGGAAGATCACTAAAGATTTAGTAAACATTTGGGGGATGTGATTTTTTTTCTTCCTCCTCTCTTTTAAGTAAGCATACTCAAATTAAAGCTTGAATTTATGTAAATGGTTCCTTGTGTTTTTTTGTCAGTGGATGCTTTTTACATATTTACAAGGTTTGCTATGATGTACAGAATCTGCTGTTTCCATGTTAAGGAAAAAGTACATTTTTCTTTGCACTATACACAATTAACCATCTGTATATAAGTAAGTTATGTACTGTATGACTGATGCTTTGTGAAGTCTGAAATAAAAAACAAACAAAACAAAGTATTTTGTATCATTGATGTTTTTTTAAAGCCAGTTATTTAAAAACGGCTATAAATATAGTCCCTACATCTCTGCCTCAGTTTTTTAGCTCCTTTTTAATCTAACTGCAGCCCTGCTGAGGTTGGTGTCTTCTAGTCCAGGCACGTTATTGTTGTAAACCACAGCCATAATAGACAACTGACAGCAGAAATGAGAACTTGAGTGTGAACAGAAAATGTGCTGAATGAGCAAATATCAAGCTTCATGACTTAATATGGAAGCTCAGTGTCATGACTCGTCCCTGCAGGGAAATGCAAATGAACTGTTAGTGGGGAGAAAAAAAAAAAAAAAACGAATAAAATCTGTCAAGACACCTCTCATTTTGTGTTGCTTCTTTTAGACATTTAATTCCTGCTCCTACAAAGGCAGCTGTCTTGCTATCTGCAAATACGGCTAATTGCAAAAGGATTCACACTCCAACTTCATATTTTGCCACACATGGGCTTGAAAATTTAATATATTTTACTGGGAATTTTCTTGTAAAATGAAGTGAAAGCCGATTTGCGAGGTGGGAGGGGAACCTATACTTAGGGCCTGGTTCACTACAGATCTGCTTGTGTTAAAAAAAAAAAGAATAAAAAATGTGCAGGCTTCATTGCACATGCAAAGCTGATCTTATTTATTATATGTTGGAACAAGCAAAGATGTTGAAGGAGTTGATGGAGGTAAATAAAGCTGTCCAGAGTCTAATTTTGCAGCAAGTCTGATGCCTGCTTTCAGGACCTATGTCAATAAGACAGGAGCATTAACAATGTAAGATTTTTCAGTTTCTTTTAATGTTAGCTTTTTGATTCCTTTACTATTTGTAAAACATTGAGATACTTGTTTTTCAGGTACTTTATGAATAATACTGATCATTTTTCCTTATCCTGACTACCTCCAACTCAATTTCTTCAAATTTAAGTTTGCCTTAAATGCCAGTAGCTCATGCAAAATCCTCATTTCAATTGGGGGGTGCTTACCAAGAGATTAAAGTAAATTACCAAAAACATTTTCTAATGTAAGAGTTGCACTACTTTAACATTTTTTTTACTTTGATAAAAAATAGAAATATTAATCCAAGAGTTTGGCTAGTTAAGTGCTGAGTTATTTTTAACTCATAATATTTTATTTAATGTTTAAAAGTATGTGATCAGACAGCGTTACATTTAAATCTTGGTATTTCAAAGGAGGGAAAAAATTATCACTAAATAAATTCGGGCAGGAGAACACTTCAAAATATTTTTTTCCTAACATTAACTTATAATACCAATCCTAACAGTAGGCTACCACCCATATGTAGCCTTTATTGTATTTTCATCTGATCTAACAGCCAATGTTACTTTTGGTGGAGAGTAGCGATACTCTCAATACAATATTAATGGTATAGTGGAGGATTTTCGGGAATTTTTGGAAAGACCTGCCCTCTTCACTTAAAAAAAAATGCATGTGCACAACCCTGTACCGGTTCCCCAGAGGGAACGCCTGTTAAAGAGCATGCACTAGCCCATTTCCACCCGGAAAAAGAACATCCTCCACTAAGTAAATATCTAAAAGTATTGTTCCTAAAGCTTGCTCAAGTTAATGTAACCGGTTACTTCCCAGTAGAGGTGAGTGATACTGGGAATTTTTAATAATACCAAGTAAATATAGGGTCAGTATCGCCGATATCGATACGATACTTGGAGGAAGATACTCTGGAGGTCTGAAACACCTCTGTCAGTCAGGTCTGACTGAGGGTCTGTCTGGGTAATGAGCAAAGTCTTGTCTCCCCTCCCTGTTTCTGTAGCTCGACATTTTCTTGGTCATGGTTTTTCATGTGCTTTTTAAACTACATTTAACCTCCTTTTTACAAACCGTACAGCTTGCCGTTGTTTTCATTTATGGTATTTCGGCTCCTATGGTCTCTCTCTCTCCAGCGTCTGAGCAGCGCGGCTGTTTGCGTGTGGAGTGGAGAGAGAGCTGAGTGGGCGGGGCCAGGCTGAGCCTGTCTGCTGAGCCGGGGACGAGAGGGGAAGGGGGGGCAGCAATGCACTGTAATTATGCAGACGGGAGAGTGGTGAATCTGTTGCAGTCAGTGCGTGCTGGAAAGAATAAAAAGTATTGATCTTGTTAAACCAATATTGTTCAATATCAATACCAGTGTTGGTATTAATAGTATCGATCCTTGGATCGATCCGACCACCTCTACTACTAAGCTCTGCAGAAAGGGATCTGCTGCAGCCTGCAAGACGGGTGTGTCGTGTAGTGGGTGTGTTGTGTATCGATGTCACTACACGGCACGCCCACTACAGAACTGGAAATCACAGTAAACCATGTCAGAGTCTGCTAACTTACCCTAGAGTAACAGGACACTGATGCTACTCAACCTTAATATCATCCTGTCCTAACCTGGAAGGAATTTCATGTTGGAGGAATGCCACATTGTGGATGTGTTGTGTGGTGACGTCAAGAATCGGCACAAATCTGTCTTGCAGGTTGCAACCGTACTCTTTCCTCTGCTGCTCACCTGCATGCACGCACTGACTACATGTGCAATTTCGGTTTGCATAAAAAATGTAAAGCTCGTTTGGGATTTTTGGAGATCAAGGTCCTCATTTTTCCCTTTTTTCTAATTAAGTCAAATCTTACACGTATGGTGTCCATGTTTATTTACCCCACTTTTTCTTTGATACCCTTGGAGATGTTACTGCCAGACTCAAAAGGAACATTAAATAGAGATACAGTAACGCTAGAGGAGCAACAGAGAGCCACTGCTTTGCATGTTTGGATGGAGGAGGCTGTTGACACTATTAAAGTTAAATGCTTTATAACCCTAATTTCAAGGCCCTGTTTGGATTACCACATCCAGATTAGAGTAGAATTAAACTTAGTTGTCATTACACTGTCACAAGTAAAAAGCAACAAAAATCCTTCTCTTATTTAGCCCATCCTTTTGGGGAGCAGTGGGTTGCCATTGTTCAGTGCCCAGGGAGCTTTATGAGCTCAGAACCTCTAGGATCCAAGTGCAATGCCCTAACCACTACACCACCACTCCCCAACACCGATTCTGCTTGAAGTGTCTTATAGTGGATTCGAACTGAGGACTAATGCCTGTGCAAATGGGTCCTGTGCGCCCACCACTGTTCCACCGAAGCACACCCAAAATTACTGTGAGGCTGACATCTTAAACACATAAAACATGGCGTTTGCAGCATGTGGTGGGGATGTCTTGCTTCAACATCAGAGCAGATGGAAAGCTAGTTGGAGCTTACCATAAGGTAATCCTGAATGGAAGAGAGTAACAGGTTGCCTTAGTACTGTAGTTCAGCTTCCAGTAGACAATGAATTATAAAAGCAGAGCAACAATGCCAACGTTTAGATCAAATCATATGTGCACCTTTTAAGCCTATACATGGCAATCTAATTGAGTCAGTCTTTCCTGGATGCAGTTAGCAGATGTTCTGTTGTACAGGGGCTAAATACATGTACGCTTCATTACTCCTACTCGTCAGATCTGTGTGTTCCCCAACACATAGAGCATTATACATTTATATTTAGTACAGCCAGTTACAAAGCAACATGATATAAAAGAAAAAGTTGAACGTGTATTAAATAATTGCCAAAACTCTGCATGTTGAGTTCAGCTACTGGAGAAGTCTGGCTGTATCTTAGTTCCCAACTCCCCCCCCCCATCACAGTAGCCTGATTCAACAAAGTATGGCTTTGACCTAGAAAAGTGATAAATCTATAAAGCGAAGGCGTGAACAAGAAAAAATGTCTCTGGCGACAAACAGAAAACAGGCCTCTGGACGCACAGTAAAAACAGTCACAGCTACTGTTGTGATTTAGTGGAGAGATAAAAGCCATTACAGCATGTAAAGTTCTCTGCTGCATTTCCCCTGCCCTTTAAGTCAGAGCAGCAAACGGTTCACCCCGCTCACCCCCCCTACCATCGCAGGCTGATATGCTCTATAAAATAAGCCTCCGTGGGCTCCTTTTTTTTCTTCCTCCCCTCCAGCTTGTGTTTGCTGATGACTAACAAATGGTTTTAAAACACTTTACTCGAGCAGGAAGTCAGTGGTGCATGCTGGGATGCAGGGAGGGTGTTCAGCAGAGCCCTTATCACTGGTTTTCCTCCAGCAGCTCTGTAGGGTTCCTGCCAGATCTATGCGCCTTTAAAATTTAATACTCTCTTATTGTTTACGGAGTCATTAATACCACTGCCAACCATGTACTCATTCTCCAACTTTATGACCTGGTAACCTCCAACAAGTGGTAAGCATTGGTTTATTGGAAAAGTTCTGACTTCCTGGCTTATACCTAAAAATAATATCACACTAAGTCATTTGAGGGTTGTGTACTGAACATAATTATACAGAGCAAGTGAAAAGTTAACATAGTTTCAACATGGGCTTATTTAAAGATGCATTTGAATCATTCATTTTTTACAAGATGGTTCAATAACACAATATACAATGTCAGTAATTTGGAAAACAAGAATTGAAGCATAAGTCCAAATTTTCAGTGAAACCAAACAAGTAATTAGACACAGAGACTCAAATATGTATTTACATTTATAGACCTTCAACTGGACTAAACACTGCAGCCATCAACAAGTAATTGTTTAAGATTTTTGGGATTTTATACTTACTTATTTGTTTAGTTTTTTTTTTTATTATTATTAGCAAGTGCGAAGGTACAAATCCTGCCCATAAATCAATTCCAAATCTTGTCTATAAGATTAAGGTTTGGGCATTAGTAAAAATCGATTCAGAAACCTGATTTATCCATGCCATCAAAGCCAATTTTGATGAGTCTGACAATGTTAGATCTTTTAGTTGGAACATATAATTCTATTTGGGTTCTGCCTATTTGACCCAAACCCTAAATTTCTTAGGATGTTCAGAGAAACTGAGAAAGCAGAAAACACTCAAGCTCCAATTAATTAGAAACTGCTGAAACACCAGAATTAAATGTCAACTGGGAAGAGAGTTTTACAA